GACGAAACGCGAAACACAGCAGTGTAGGGAATTAGTTGTTGTCTTTTGTTCATGCATCTCAGTGCATTCTGTGGGCTGTTCTTCAGTGAGCATGGGGCTCGTGTTCGCGCTGTGGTGTGCTCCGGACCAGCCGAAACGAGCAAGGGCTCATTTCCTACTACCAGTTCCGCATTCCCGAGGCACTAAAGCAGTCAATGTTGCTTTAAGATGAGGTTTCAGTAATATAGAGTTGTAACATACAGTAAGAAACGTGGACACCTTGACAATATGTCGATACCGTCGACTTGAGATAGCAGCAGGTCTGCATCCTCTGGAGCACCATCGTGTTCCAATTCACAAGCGCAACTTGCTCAGTTGTTTGGAAAGGTCTGCCAATTGCTGAATATAGTGCTGTATCAATTATTTTCTTACCGTTAAATAAATATTATGGATTGGCGTGCTCATGTTCGATTCGTGAACCTGATTCGTGAACGCCATTCGTGAACCCTCCAGACCACTGCAACGCGCGCAGTGGTGACTCGGCGAAGGCCGCACTGTCACTACACTTGCGCAAAGCAGCGTGAGTCGATTGCATGAACATTTACAAACTCGAAATTCAGTTTTCGGCTGCCTTTAATTAGCCTTTCCAGCTCAGTGGTTTCGGCTGTCCGCTTGAAACGAGGGCTATAATTTTGACATGCCCTGCCATAGTCTAGTGCTGCCTGAAACTCCGTGGTAGAAGGTTTTTGTCTAGAGAGAGCACTTCCAAGGTACTAATCTGAGACAATGATGGGAATGGCTGAGTGCTAATGGCAATGTTCAACTTTTTTCGCAGATGTCTGAGTGCAATCACCTCAGCTAACGGGGTGTGGGCTAAGGAGCCGAATACAATGTGCACGGTAACAATGTGTTCCGCCCAAAAAGCCCTCAAATGGTATATAGTTCAATACCAGAACAATTAATGTTTCACTAAGAAAACTAAGCAGTTAAAATTAGCTTCATAGTGGGTTGCTTCTAGGATTCATTGCAGCTAATCCCAGGTTTCTGTGGCTGGCAGAAAGCGGCCTCTAGAGATTATACGCTGGCAGTAAAGAACCTCTAGAGGTTATACAGTTCAATCCTAGAACGATTAATGTGTGACTAGATAAATCAAACGTAGAAATTCAGTATAATAGGAGTTTGGTCCTAGGCTTCACTGCAGCTTATCCGCTGCTATTGTGGCCGGCAGTTTAATGACCTTTAAAGGTTAATTGGTCCAATACAAGAACGATTAATGAAAGACTAAAAAAACCACACAAAGAAACCTACTTTCGTAGCAGGTTGGAGGTAGGCTTCCCTGCAGCTTATTCCAGGCTTTGTGGTGTGCAGTTTTAGAGTGGTGGTGCCAATGCGCATGAGGACAGCCAGAGAAGGGAACAGCAATATTTCCTAAGGAAGACGCTTTATTGTTTTGAATTTATGTTTCGTTTCATTTAGTGAGTAGAGGAAGGTATGTATTTTCGTAATGAGTTACAGAACACTATGTGAGAGCCAAACAGCGGTTAGCTCGCCTACCAAAGTAATTGCGCGGCTACTGTGCGCCCGCGCAACGCGCTAATGGCCGGTGCATAGGACTCCACGCCTCACAGAATGTTGAGTGTATGAGGGCAATCGAGCAATGCTGACGATGGCTGTAGTTCGCAAGCACTACAATAGAGCTCGCCCTCATACGTAGTACACTGCGTTCTCTGCAACGTCTACGATGCTGCACTGCCCACAACTCGGGCGTTCTAAGAAATATTCTCTTCTACCGACGCATAGGTCGCGTGACGTCTATAAATGTATTGAAAAGAGCGTTTTGTTTCGAGTTCCCAAACCCATATTTTCATTAAAATCCTTTCGTCTTGTTCTTGTTGTGTTGGTCCGGTGGAGGCGTTGTCGGCAGCCCCCATCTTAGAGCATTCGCAGGCATTTCTAGTCTATACATGTTAATTTGTTAATAAATTGCATTTGTATTTCACTAGTAAGAGGTTACAGCGCTCAATCCGCGTCTCAACCTCTTAACCGCCTGTAGGTCATCACTTAGGAATCCTCTACAGATCACCAGCAAGCCCCATTGTAGTGTCTGCGCACTACAACTCCCCCCTTGCCGGACTGAACTCGCCTACCCACAGCATATTATTTCTGCCTTATCAGTCTTTATTCCCTTCTGAAGCTAATGCCATGAGCTCATGCGGTACGCAGCGCTTGCTCCCCCGCCTCGTCATTGAAGGCCGTCGTGTGGTGGCAGTTGACAGACCCAAACCGCTACGCCTCGAAAAAGGCAAGAATGTTTCGAGCCTGGAGACGTCTTCTCTGACGGCGATGCCAAGCGAGGAGCAAAGCGTGACATCCTGTTAAGTGGTTAGCGGGCTCCCACGTGGCTTGATCTTCGCGGGTGCCGCGCCACTTGACGAGATACTGGGCGTCACCTCCTGAGCCACGTTGGTCCATAATATAATCGACTTCATACTCCTCTATCGGACTGCCGGCAGCATCGCGGATAGGGGGCCAGGCGGTGTCGGCTTCTTGGGGAACCACGTCTGAAGGGCGGGAACTAGCTGCGAAACATGAGAAACGTTGTGGCATTCATACGTAGGAGGCAAAGCAAGACAGTAAGCGACGATGCCTATCCGTTCAATGATTTCAAAGGGTCCTCGGTAACGGGGCTCGAACTTAGGGCAGTTAGATGACGCCGGCAGATGCTTGCTACTGAGCCAAACCTTGTCTCCCACTGCATGCTCCACAGCTCGGCGCTTTGTGTCTGCGCAATATTTCTGCTGCCCCTTTGCCTTCAGGATGTGGCTCTGCACTCTGTCGCAGAGCTGCCGGAAAAGCCTAGTCATCGGAGGAGTGAGCGTGAGGGCTAACGCGCCTACGATATCAAAATTCGCAGCAGTCAGCGGATTCTCGCCGATCATGACCTCGAAGGAAGAGAGCTCGGTGGATGAATGGCTTGTCGTGTTGTAGGCAAGTTCCAGGGCCGGAAGCAAACGCTCCCACTCGCGTTCGTCAGGTTGGAAGTAGGTACGAAGCTTCTGCTCCAGTGTGCGGTTAACTCTTTCAGTTTGGCCGTCGCTTTGCGGATGGTAGGACGAGGACATGGCGCGTTTGTTAAAGCGGTGACATAGTTGTTGCCAGAGGTCCGCCTGAAAGGGGGGGTCGCGGTCCGATATGAGTTTCTCTGAAAATCCGTGGTAGCGGATAAGACGGTCTGCGAGAAGTTCCACAGTGTCTGCTGCTGTGAATGACTTCTTTGCAAGAACGATATGAGCCATCTTGCTGAGGGAGTCGACCATCACGAGAAACGAGTTGTGCCCTGTCGTGGTAAGGGGAAAATCCGTGATAAAATTGAGGCTCACGTGCGCCCATCGACGAGAAGGGATGAGCAACTGTTGAAGAAGGCCTGCAGGCTTCTGGTTAATAGACTTTGACGCTCGACAGTGGGTACATGACTCAACATAAGCAGTAGTGTAGGCGCGCATTCCTGGCCAGTAGTAGTGCTTGCTGAGAGCCGCAAAGGTCTTCTTCTGGCCTCGATGGCCGG